CTTTGGGTTGAGATCCAGACACATGGTAAGAACACATCATCCACTCAATGTTTCTTCCTAATGTTTAGTGAAACCTTTGAAAGAAAGATCTTTTATTGTTGGTACAGAGCTGTTTGTTAAAAAGGAATGAATGAATGAATGAATAATAAAATATTTCCTGGAACAGAACAGAAACTGAAACAAAGACCAACCAAATCATATATTCAATAACAGGATGTTTTCTGCATAAATCTATTCCAAGAATGGCATATATCATGTCCTCCCAACCAAGTTCCCCACAGATTTTATTGGACTAAAATTTCCAATCCCATGCCTAGCACAATGTGTTGACTGAGGATGGTGAGGATATAATATCAAACATCTCAAGGGCATGAGCCTGATTTATGCTTTTCTCAAAACATAGAAAAGGAAAGTTAGTCTGGTAGATTTGGAGTGATACAGCCCAAATGCAATGGCTAAAAATGCAGAAAACCAAAATGTCTTGTATTAATTTCTTTGCAAGGTAAAATCAAGAATCTTCTCCCCAAGAACAGTTTTGACTGTCTTGCTCAGCTCCTGAAAGTGAATGCTCTCTACTTCAAGGGACAATGGCAAGTGAAATTTGACAAAGAACTCACAGCAGAAGCCCCATTCTATCCACATTGTGAAGATCAGGTGAGTTATATATTATGTATATGTATAGCTTCCATCTCCCAGTTTTACAGAGCAAAAGATAATGTAATTGTACCTGCAGTTACCTTGGAACAGGCATGTTTTCAGACTCTGTGGGAACTGATGCGGGGAAGCAATCAAATTTTGGGCTCAGTTTATCAAACTCAGCATTATAATCTATGACTTCAGGTTCATAGCCCCCCCCAAGTAATATAGCTTGCAAAATGAAATCAAAAGAATGGCTCCCACCATGCTACATTTACGTGTTTTCCCTTTATGCTTTTTCAGAAAAATTGCTACACTGTGCAGCTGATGAATAGAAAGGGTGTTTACAACACAGGCACCTTTGATATTTGCGACACTGAGATACAAGTGCTTGAGATCCCCTACAAAGAAAATGAACTCAGCTTGTTCATTCTGCTCCCAACAGACTGCAGCCCAGAAGCTCTTGAACAGGTAAGACATCTTCTCAAACTTCTCACTGTATCCATTTGTTGTGTTAAATTCTTTATAGATTCAGCCACCCATCTCTGGCCATCAAATAAGACGGCAATGTTTGTGCAAAACTATTTCTTATTAGGTGTGAGTTGGAACCATCTTTCTTTTGGATCCATCTTGAGGTGAAATGTTCTCACCATAATTTTGTGCTTGTTCCTCTAGCTGGAGGATGGCCTGAGCCATGAACACCTGCTTGACTGGTCCTGTCATCTGAAGCCTGAAGAGGTGGATGTCTTCATTCCCAAGTTCAGCTTAGAGCGGAGCTATTATCTCAATGAATACCTGGATCTGCATGATCTCTCTGATCCTGAAAAAGCTGATTTCTCTCAAGCAACTACCACAGAAGGAGTGGCTCTTACTCAGCTGGTCCACGATGCTTTCCTTGAAATTGATGAGGAAGGTGGTGAGGAAGCAGAGGCCCGCCGTTGTCCCCGGGATAGGCGTCCCCGTCGGGAGGCTGTGCAGTTTGTGGCTGACCATCCCTTCGTGTATTTTGTCCGCCACAATTGCACCCAGAGTGTCATTGCCCTTGGCAAATTTTCTACACCAGAATAAAGGGACCCTTGTGACCCATGCAATGAAACCAACGGAAGATGTATACGGAAAACTTGTTTTTGAAGATTTCAGTGCTCTGTATCTTCTTCCTCTTTGGCTCACTCTCTGGAGTCCTGGTCTTTACAGAGATTGGGGCAAAGAGGCTTTCTATTTGGTGGTGGGCCTGATTCTCAAATCAGGACGAGCATGCTTTAAAGGCTTCATTCTTTGTCTGTCTGCTATTCCCTTCTCTGACAATTTATACCTGTTCAGCTTTTTAAAGCATAGCATTTCTCCTTACCTCTTAAAATGATGTCACATTTTTCACATGGCAGCTGACTATTTTTAAATGTCTGCAGTTTGGGAAAGAGAGAGAGTTTCTATCTCTTAAAGATAAATGAAGAAGGGCAATATCCAGGGGTGTAGTTTTCCCTATCACTGTGGCCAAGTTCTGAGAGATGTGGGGATTTTTATTGACTAATTTCACTTGAGTCAAGGTTTTAGTGAAATAAGAAAATTGATGTCATATGTCACTCACTCTGAAATCTTCTACTCTGAATTGTACTGCTCTCCATTGCCCAACTGCTATTTGTGTGTGGTATGTATGTCTTAATTCCTCTTTTTGAGGGGTGAGATTCCATCCATCCTGGACTGTCAACCACCCCTACTATTGCCTAAAGTCAGCATTAGACTGTTATTAGACTGCCAAGAATAAGCCTGATTGAATTGAATGAGACTTTCTTCTGTGTAGACATATATGGAATTGTGCTCTTAAGCTGTTGACTACAGTTTGAAGTTTTAACAGGGAAAACATAATCAGTGAAAATCTTTCTGTGTATCAGGAGACTGTTGCTTTTCTTTGAAATATGTGAACCTCTACTGTCTCTCTCCCCTCTTTCCCCACTCAAATTGTATCTTACCAATATCTTAATAAAGAAAGCATTTAATAACATTCTGGGTTTACAGTTTTCACTAGAATTTTTTTTTTTTTTTTTTGCAAAGTAAGAATTAACAAGCATGTCCAAGGAACTGAAACCATAAGTGAAATGTCACCTTGTGTAGGAAAGTCAGTGATGTATTTAAGCCTTTCACATCAAGTCTCAAGTCTCTACCTTCAAATCTTGAGACTCAAAAAAAAGTGATGGTGGGGGTGGGAGTGGAGTTTCAATAACTAGAAAATCAAGAAGACGTGTAGAAAGTTGGAGGATAGGAGTAGAAGGATAGGCTAGATCCTTCTAAAGATATTTCTTCCTAGAAAAAGCAACAGACAAGTTTTTTGGTGGTTCTTTTGAAAAAAAAAATCAAATTGGAAAAGAGCTCAACAAGTGTGAATGATGGATTCGCGTAACACTGGAGGGGAGATCTCACCAAAGTCCAGCTCCCTGAAGTGAAGGGTGGTGAGCTGGGCTCCCTTGCCCTCACAAACTCTCACCAGGCAGAGCAGGGCCCCGCTTTTGGAGCTCCTGGACCCAGCTTTAGGGCCGCTGTCGTTGTTGACATATGGCCCGGCGGCTGCCTCAGAGGAATCAGGGCCATTCAGCTGTTCAGCCTTGCCCACTCTTCCAGGGGTCTCTCTGGTCCCTGGATCCAGGAGGGTGGTGGGGATGGTGGAGGCACAAGGAGTCCCTTTCCTCACCCTAGAACAGGACTCAGGAGAGCATGCTCAGGAGAGACTCGGCTTTGGAGCTTTGATTTGGCCAGGTCCTGCCTGCCTTTTTTCTGGGATGTCTTCCCTTTTGCCGGGTCTGGTCCTCCTTTTCAGTGAGAACACCTGGGTCCCTCTGGGAAAGGGCCAGTCTCTTGGAGCTCTTTTGCCTCGGAGCAGGTTCTTCTTGGATCGCCTCCTTTATGGACACCCCCCTGGCTCTATGCAGCCTCCCAGGCTCAGTGGGCACCCCTGGCATCCTCAACAGCAAGAAGGACCAGGCCCCACAAAAGCGAGGATATCTCACAAAGGGCAGAACCTAACCAAATCAGAAGCTTCCAAGAGAGGACCTTTGGGGATTCCTCCTGGACAAGAGGTTGGAATGGAGGACATGTCCTCTGGGAAAAGGAAGAGGGCCTGTGGTCGCACTTCTCCCAGGGTAGGGCAGGTGCATCTGGGAGAAGAAGGTCTTCTTCTCTGCCTCTGGAGCAAAAGGGCGCCCCTTGGAGCCTGGGAAACCTGCCCCCCAGCTCTCCCGGCTAAAGCTCTCCGGGGTCCAGCCCAGCCCATGCATAAAACTGGGGCACACTAGTGGGAACAACATGGAATAAGGAAACAATTCACTTCCATAAGTGGGAACTATGCATCGGCCTGAATCGAATCCATGACCTGGTGTCAAGGCGATTCGCAAACTAGTTTAAATGTAAGTGGGAATGAGCCTTTCATGTGAGGTCCTCCTCTCTTTCTACTGTCCTCCACCTTTCCAAGCATTAATGTCTTTTCAAGTGAGTCATGCCTTCTCATGATGTGGCCAAAGTAGGACAGCCTCAGTTTTGTCATCTTGGCTGCCAGAGTTTTTTTCTCTTCAAGGACCCATTTGTTTGTCTTTTTGGCTGTCCACCAAATTCTTAGCACTCTTATTCAGCACCACATTTCAAATGAGCTGATTTTCTTTTTATCTGTCCTCCCCCCACCCCACTATTCAGTTCTCACTTCCATACATAGTGATGGTGAATGCTATGGCCTGATATTCACTACTGCACATATAATGAAAGGAATATTCTGAAAGAGTGTTTAGAACCCAGGGAAGCTGACTTTTGGTAAGCAGATTTATTTCTTTCACAGCTGAACTCTAACTGGCTACTGTAAAGATCTGAAAGACATGCAGCCCTTTGAAAATGTAAAGCAAAGGTTTTGCTTCTTTCTGAATCCTATTGCATTATATCCCACACCCACTACTGTATAAATATGTTTTTGCCTAAGGCATTAATACCACTTGGTGCTGCATCCAAAGAAGTGGGTTATATCCATAAAAGCTCACATGAAAATATAAAACCAGTTAGTCTTGAGGGTGTTGCCACATTTCTTTTTTCTTTTTTCTTTATCACATCCTTCCTCCTTTGTTGTTGTTGTTGTTCCTATAAGATAGCAATAAATGCAGCAAGGAAAACCTTCCTCTCTCCACACATTGCACCTGTGAATTCACATCCAGCTATTCAGTGTGGTTAGTGGTCTAACTCACACATGTTGTTGTGTTCCTCCAAGTTATTTCCTACTTATGGCAACCCTATCATAGGATTTTCTTGGCAAATTTCTTCTAAGGAGGTTTGTCAGAGCAAGTTTCTTCAGGTTGAGAGAGTGTGACTTGCCCAAGGTCACCCAGTGGGTTTCAGGGCAGAGCTGGGATTTGAACCCTGGTCTCTAGAGTCAGAATCCAACACTTAAACCATTATGCTATGCTGGCTTTCTAACTTACACATCTGCCCCCCTAAACTCAATTCTAGTGCCCTCTGCAGTTTGCTTTGATGCTTTAACAATCATTTCACAGGTAAAATTTCTTGGATAAGGGCAAACTTAGATGATGTTATGTCATTATAGTAAACGCTGACAATGGGGTGTCCAGCAGCTCCATGAATAGGATTGCACTGGACCAGTTTTAGTCAGTGAGTACTACAGATGTGGACAAACTGCTAGGATGTGTAAAGAGGACAAATGTCTCTTCAATTTCTCTCCTCCTTGGCTGGTCATCCTGGGAGAAGATTCAGTTAGATCTCTGCTGTAATGTATTGCTAATGCTGTTCATACTATGCTATAAACCAGTTTGCAAACTGGTTTAAAAGTGGGTAGTTCACACTGGTGCCAGGCTTTTCATACCTGAATAGGGTGGACTCAGGGCAAAGCTGCCTCATCGTGGGTTTGCCAATATTGAGTTTTTCCCCGTGTCTTTTGAAAAAAATAAACGGGTTTTGTCAGGGTGATGCCAATGTGAACTTGTCCCCAATCCTATTCGGCGCTTTCTGAAGGGAGGGATTAATGGCCAGAGGGTGGGCAGAGAGGTGGAACATACCTATTCCCTCTCACAGGTCACAGTGCATGGCAAGCACCATTTTTTATTCTTGCAACCAGTTGCAGGCTCTGATGATTTCAAATTTCCTGCTACTAGGCTCTTTAAACAACTGCTCAGCTGTTTCCCTCTTTTCCGCTTTTCCCCCCTGACAATGCCATAGCCCAGATGTTCAGACATTGCCCAAGCCGACAAAGGAGGGTCTTTGGGTTTTTTAAAAAAATATTTTTGAAAAAAAAAATTGTTATTTTTTGGTTATTTTTATGAAGTTTTTATTTATATGATGTTTTAATTGAATGTTTGATTTAATATCTTTTTAAAGGGGGGTGGGTATTGGGTCTAAATTTTATATGATGTATTTTTTATCATCTGTAAGCCACCTCGATTGGTTTCAGAGGGGCAGGGTATTAAATAAAACTTATTATTAAAACTTATTATTATTATTATTATTATTATTATTTTATTTGACAGAAAGTGCAAACATTTGCCTTTCTGTGGCTTCAACACATGGTGATTTTTGGAAATCCCCCCAAGGAGAAGCTCTCATGGGGGTTTCATGGCAAGGAGTCCTCCAAAAGGCTACTCCTCCCCAAAAGGCTACTCCTCTCTGAGGTCGGCAGGTGGGGATCCCCCCAAACAGTGTGACATAGATGTGCATCATTTGATTGACAAAACAAAACAAAAGTCCCAAAAATGATCAGATACATTCGATAAGGCGGCTCTATTTTTAATTGGAACTTTGGTCAGTGTGAACTTGTCACGGTTAAATTGCACCGGAGAGATTTGATCAGGGTAAACATAGTGTGAATTTCTATTCAGGTCAGATTTGGTATTGCATCAACGAATCTACCCAGCTCTACCCAGCACAAAAATGCAAGTGTGAATGGGGCCTCAGGGAGGAAAGCTTTCCATCTCATTTAAAAGAAGTGGTGATACATCCACTTCTAAAAAGTGCAGCCTATGGGCTTTAACAACTATACTATTGAATCTTCTTTTTGGGGGCAAAGTAATTGACAGTAGTCAACTATACTATTGAATCTTCTTTTTGGGGGCAAAGTAATTGACAGTAGTCTTGGATGATAAAGGTTTTCTAGATCCATTTCAATCTGGCTTCAGAACAGGATACAGAGTTGAGACCACTATGGCCATCTTAGCGGGTGATCTGCACCTAAGCATCAACAGGGGGAATGTGTCCCTCTTGGTGCTCTCAATGGCATTTGATACCATCAACCATGGTATCCACCTGGAACATCCAAGGGGTCTGGTATTAGAGGCACTGTGTTTCAGTGGTTCCAGTCCTTTCTTGTTGGTAGGTCCCAAATCAGTGGTAGGCAACCTTTCCCCTTTAAGGGCCGAGGGACTTCAGCTCCCAGAAGCCTCAGCCATGTTGGCCAATAGTCCCATGTTGGCCAATAGCTCCTGGGATTCTGGGAGTTGAAGTCCCTCGGCCCTTAAAGGGGAAAGGTTGCCTACCCCTGTCCCAAATGGTGATGTTTGGGGATAGCTGCTCCTCAAAAAAGAAGCTATTTGATTGCATACCACAAGGTGCCACTCTATCCCCACTGCTGCTTAGAATGACACCACTGGAAGAGATCATCTGGAGGCATGAGGTGGGGTGTTATTACTATGCTGATGACACCCAATATATTTCTCAATCATTAATACTGCACTACAATGTTACAGTATTACTATTCCACTTTCATTGCTATGGCTAATTCCTGTGGAATTCTGGGGTTTGTAGTTTAGTAGGGCTGAAGAGATCTCTGACTGAAAATTGTTTTTAAAAAAAAAAAAACTAATTTTTTATTGAATTCAATAAAAACAAACATAATACATTAAACGGACAAGTCATAACGCCACATCCCACCCCACGCCCACCACCCATACTCAATACACTATACATTCTTTCTAACATCAGTCACAGACAATCAACACATTTGACTTCTGCTGATTGGTTCATTAATGTTATTAAAGTTTTCTCTTGACGTATGAACTGATACTCAAAGTATCTGATAAGTCTTCCTTAATCATTTTTATTTCATCTAAACCAAAAATCTTTATTCAACAAATAAGAAAAAAAAATCCTATTTACATATTCCCATAATCATTAAACTTATCTTTTGTCTTCATTGACTATCTCTGGTATATCTAGTTCCAATTCTAAAGAATTCCTATCTCCAATATATCTACCTGTACACTTTAGTCTAAACCCACTGTCCACAATTCAGCCCATTTTGTTCTAATGTATTTAATAAATGGTTTCCAAACTTCACCAAAACATCCTGATGTTTGTTTGTTTTTATAACAATTGTGTTAGCTTACCATTTTCCATTAATTCGTATACTTTCCATATCCAATCATCAATTTTAGGTATCTTCTTTTTTTTCTAGTGGCGAGTCATCATATAAAATAAAAGCCTACCATATTCTTTTACATTTCTTATCTTCTATATTTATACATAGTAAATATCTTTTTGGGTCTTTTATTACTGGTTGTTCTATTATTTTTTTTAATTTTTTCATGATTTTCGGTCCAATTTTTTTTTTTTTTTTGCCTGTTTACACGCTCACCATATATGATAATATGTTCCTATTTCCTTTTTACATTTCCAACAAAAGTTTCCTGTTTTATATATTTTTGATAATTTATATGGAGTGAGATGCCATCTAAATAACATTTATATACATTCTCTTTCATATTATAATTTACTGTATATTTCATTCTTTTTAACCATGTTTTTTCCCATTGTATTAATGGTATCAATTTTCCGATATTGACAAAACATTTAATCATATAGGGCTTCACCTGTTCTTCTTCCATATCAAATTCTAATAGAAGTTTATATAATTTTTTAATTCTATGATCTTTTTCTACCTTTATTATATTTTCAAATCTTGAATCTGCTTCCCTAATATTATTTGTTTTTAAATCAATTAACACTCATTCCTTTATTTGCCAATAAGTAAACCAGGTACATTGTATA